TTTTAACATATTATAACGTCCACTACTAGAATTCCACAAAAAAACGACCAAAATATAGCGACCAAAGTTGGTCTGTAAAGAAAAGCGACCAACGTTGGTCGCCAAACTAGCGAAAATAATAAAATAAATAAATGAAACAAATTAGCGACCAAGGATGGTCGCCACTTGGTCGCCAAATTAGTCAAAATGTTGACTGGACTGGTCAGACTTGCTTGGTCAAAGGTTTACTGAGATTAGCGACCAATGTTGGTCGTTAAAGTGGAACCCACCTTCAAAATTTTAATAATTATATTATTATTTTAAAAAAATATAAAATTTAAATATATATAATTTAAACTTGGCGACCAACGTTGGTCGCTAAACAAAGGGTAGGCAGATAGCGACCAACTTTGGTCCCTAAAGTGGGACTCAGTTATAAATTTTAATAATTATATTTTTAATATAAATATTATATAAAATATAAATAAATCAGATTTAAATTTTGCGACCAACTTTGGTCGCTAAATTAATTTCATGTATAATTAGCGACCAAAGTTGGTCTCCGTTGAGGTCAACAATGGCCAAAATTAAAAATTATTTTTGTATTTACTATCTAAATAATATAAATATAAGTCGTTAATATATATAATATATATACTTACGTTGTACTATGCACTAAGTATAAGTGTATTAGGTAATATTATATCGAATATATAAGGCGTATATATATCTAACATATATAGTTACGATGTACTATGCACTAAGTATAAGTGTATTAGGTAATATTATATCGAATATATATGGCGCATATATATATATATATAATATATATACTTACGTTGTACTATGCACTAAGTATAAGTGTATTAGGTATTATTATATCGAATATATATATATATATATATATATATATATATATATATATATATAGTTACGTTGTACTATGCACTAAGTATAAGTGTGTTAGGTAATATTATATCGAATATATATATGGCGTGTATATATATATATATATATATATACACACGTTGTACGCTGTACTATGCACTAAGTATAAGTGTAGGTAATATTATATCGAATATATAAGGTGTATATATATATATATATATATATATATATATATATATATACTTACGCTCCCCAGACCCCACTATGTGGGATTTTACTGGGTAGTTGTTGTATATATAATTACGTTGTACTATGCACTAAGTATAAGTGTATTAGGTAATATTATATCGAATATATAAGGCGTGTATATATATATATATATATAGTTACGTTGTACTATGCACTAAGTATAAGTGTATTAGGTAATATTATATCAAATATATATGGCGTGTATATATATAATATATATAGTTATACTTACGCTGTACTATGCACTAAGTATAAGTGTATTAGGTAATATTATATCGAATATATATGGCGTATATATATAATATATGCTTACGTTGTACTATGCACTAAGTATAAGTGTATTAGGTAATATTACGCTGTACTATGCACTAAGTATAAGTAATATTAGGTAATATAATTTTAAATTGAATAAAAAGTAATTTAATTTTTTTTAGATATAGCGGCCAATGTTGGTCGCTATTCTGGTCAAATGGTCAGAAATTAGCGACCAACTTTGATCGCTATTTTGGTCAAAATAGTCAATACATTTTTGCTACCAAAAATAGCGACCAAAGTTGGTCGCTTTTTGTAAATACAGTAGCTAAAAAACGGGTTTCCCCTCATATTCTCTTATTTTCTTCTCTCTCTTCTCTCTCTATCACTCAAACCCCCCCCTCCCCTTCCGTCTCCCTCTACCGACGCCACCGTCTCCCTCCACCCTCCACCCGCCGGCGGCGGCAACAGCTCCACCGCCGGTGTCCTCCACTGTCCAAGTAGGTTTATCTCTCCTTTCCTTATTTTTTTTTTGAAATACACTGATTTATTTTGATTCCTTGTAGTTTGATATATAAAAATTAGTTGTTCTTAGCTAAATTAAATCTATGATAATTATTAGTAGCTAAAATATTTAGTTTTACCTACTAATTTGGGGAAAAATGATTTGAAGAGAAGAAACCCTAAACTTTTAGGGTTTATGATTTGTTCTTGTGAATCCTAACTTTTAGGTTTGAATTATTACCTTGAATCTTTGTATTGTCTTGATAGTTTAGTTATAAATTGAAATTTTAGGATATGACTTGGAATTTTAGGATATGAATTGGAATTTTAGTTTATATTGGAATTTTAGGATATGACTTGGAATTTTAGGATATGACTTGAAATTTTAGGATATGACTTGGAATTTTAGGATATGAATTGGAATTTTAGTTTATGAATTGAACCTTTAGGATATGAATTGAAATTTTAGGATATGACTTGAAATTTTAGGATATGACTTGGAATTTTAGGATATGAATTGGAATTTTAGTTTATGAATTGGAATTTTAGGATATGACTTGAAATTTTAGGATATGACTTGAAATTTTAGGATATGAATTGGAATTTTAGGATATGACTTGAATTTTTAGGATATGACTAGAACCTTTAGGATATGACTTGAACCTTTAGGATATGAATTGGAATTTTAGGATATGACTTGGAATTTTAGGATATCACTTGGAATTTTAGGATATGACTTGAAATTTTAGGATATGACTAGAACCTTTAGGATATGACTCGAACCTTTAGGATATGAATTGGAATTTTAGGATATGACTTGAAATTTTAGGATATGACTTGGAATTTTAGGATATGACTAGAAATTTTAGGATATGACTAGAGCCTTTAGGATATGAATTGAACCTTTAGGATATGAATTGGAATTTTTGTTTATGAATTGGAATTTTAGATTATAAATTGAATTTTTTTGGATATGAGTTGAACCTTTAGGATATGAATTAAAATTTTGGTTTATGTATTGGAATTTTAGATTGCGGGAGGATTTTGTAGAAGGGGTTGATGGTAATATTAGACATGCAATGGAACTTCCACCAAGAATAACTAAGACACAGTACCTGGCAGAGTGTGCCTTTAATTGTTCTTATCATTAGCGACAACGATGATGAGAAGGCAAGAACATGTGTTTCAACTAGTGATGGTATAGGCAGGAATCTTAACATTTCCTAAGTAGATAAAAGAAAGATTATAGAGGAATTCTCTACTTCATTTTCCAAGAAGAAAAGAAGTTTAATTAGGAGTGACAAGGTTGATGGTGATGGAATATTTTCCGTTGGTCATGGCAGTTCCCATAAAACGGGGATCATAGGACTCTATGATGACAGAGATTATAGGAAGTTTTGTTCTTAACTTTCTTCCAAGTCTGATCCGTACAAGCTTAGTGGGATATTGGTGATATATTCTTCGGATTCAGAAGAATATATCACAAATATCCCATTAAGCTTGTACGGATCAGACTTGGAAGAAAGTTGAGAACAAAACTTCCTATGATCTATGTCATCATAGAGTCATATGATCCCCGTTTCATGGGAACTGCCATGACCAACGGAAAATATTCCATCACCATCACCCTTGTCAATCTCAATTAAACTTCTTTTCTTCTTGGAAAATGAAGTAGAGAATTCCTCTATAATCTTTCTTTTATCTACTTAGGAAATGTTAAAATTCCTGCCTATACCATCACTAGTTGAAACACATGCCATTGCATTCTCAACATCATTGTCGCTAACGAGAACAACAATTGATCAAAAGACACACCCTGTCAGCTACTGTATCCAAGTTATGCTATGTATCCAAGTTCATCCCGAGTAATAGTACCACGAGGATAATCACCAAAGCCACCGGACAACTTAATGATGCCAATGAAGCAAGATGAGTTATTCAATGGAACTCGTATTGTAAAGAAGAAGAAAGAGACTGATTCAGAAAGGTGGGTCGAGGGTCGAGCCTCGACTATACATGTAAGTTTTTTACTTTTCATTAAGTATTTTGATTTACTTTTATATAAATGTTGAAATATTAATTCAATATAATTTTTCTTATAGGTTCGCTTCACAGCTGATGTGGGGGAATTCATACGCAGTCAGCCACCTAACGAGTCGGCCGAGGCAATCCAACTTTTGAACGAGGATGTTAAAAGAACACTCCTTGAGTACTTTATATACTTTGAACTAGACAATAGAACTAGTTTTCGAATGAGCTTGTAATAAACGTTAACTTAGTTTTGTTAGCTTAATGTTTTAGTTCTATTGATCTTTATATTTTGTTGCTTTTTAGTGTTGTTGTTGTTGTTGTTGTTGGCATAAAATGCCTGTTTAGGATATTTGGTATAAGCTGGCAGGTGGTGTAGCAGCCAAAACAGGCAGTTTCTGCAAAAAATATACCAAAAAAAGCGACCAACTTTGGTCTCCAGTTGGTCGCTATTCACTTTAAAAAAAACAGTTTTCTGGGCAATAGCGACCAGTCTTGGTCGCTATTTTATTTAAAAAAATAATTTCTGGTAGTTTTGCGACCAACGTTGGTCGCTCATAGTTAAAAAAAAATATTAATTCTTGCCATTGGCGATCAATTTTGATCGCAAATTAAATAAAAAATTATAAAAATTATTAATATAGCGACCAAAGTTGGTCGCTTGATATGATTAACAATAAATAAAAATAAAACGTTATTTACATCTGGAGACCAACTTTGGTCGCAAAATTTATAATATTAAAATACTTTAGCGACCAAACTTGGTCGCTATATGCTTTGCCGAAAAATTTGGTCCTTTTACCTGGGAGACCAAAGTTGGTCGCTAATTGGAGACCAACTTTGGTCCCTAAGGTAAAGGGACCAACTTAATATCGACCAGGCGTGTTTGGTCGCTTTTTGGCCAATAAGCGACCAACTTTGGTCGCTTTTTTCCGGATTTCTACTAGTGATCCTACCTTTTTCCTTTTCTAGCACATATCTTGATTTTTCGAAAAGATTGTATTTGATCAGTTTGTGCACACCTTAATGTTTTTATCGAATATCTGCTATTTTCCACTAGCACAGGTATTCAATAGTTCCATCCACCAAAAATAAAGATATCTTACCAATCTTGATTATATTATAAATAATTACATGTAACTATTTTTATATTACTTAATAGTGTAAAACTCTTACATATAGATGTTAAACCCTTAAAAAATGACATGAAATCAATCTTGGGATTCACCCCACATTTTCAAAATGTAACTATCACACTTGCTCCTACCAGTCTCATTCACAAGTAATTCTGAACTTGCTCTCTTTGTCTTTGTGGGTATCACTTTTGGACCATTGATGACCCCACCATTTTTAAGGTTGTGCCTATACTCAACTGCCACCTGTTCAAATACTTCAACATCAAACATGTTCAACTTCAACTTTGGTTTCATCAAATCCCTCACATATGCAAAGGGTAATTGGTCCCTTGGGTTAAATCCTTCAAGTTCATTAAATAAGAGGCAAGAGAATAAATTGGTTGCCACACTATGTTTCCTCAATATTATTGCACTATCTGGTACATCTGCAAGAACCATGGAAAAAACCCATAAACATAAAATTAAAATGAAGAAGAATTAACCTAAATTTCCGTTCACCCAACAGCTTAAATTAAAAACAACCGATGAATGTATAAATATATATACAATATGTATATAACCGTACATAATCAATGTATATCTATGTACACTAATAGTGAATCCGACCTCCTACTTGTATAAAAATCTCTAAAATAAAAAGGTTTTCCATGAATATTGCCAAGGAGAATCTCAGTAACATTTATTTGCAATAAAATAACACACACATAATAAAGAATTAGACAAGAATCATGATTAAACTAAGACATTTGTTCTTTGTACAATGATCAAAATGACACACTTTTTATATAAATTGTACCCTAGAAGAAGCAACCTGAATAGAAGTTTCATCAAATAGTTTGGCATATTTAATTATGGGAAAGAGAAAAAGATTAAAGGTTATGTGATGGCCCTACCATTAAACTATCTTCAAAAGAAAGAAAAGGTTAATTAAAAGCTCATAGTTGATATATATCTATTTAAAAAATCATTGCTGTTATCATTTTTGCTCATAATGTCATTAAACTTAACACATACTCCACACCATATATAGTGTGCTAGTTCCATGCAATACCTTGTTTCTTAAAAGTGAGATTAACTATTTGAATTTGGACTGACTTTAATTAACAAAAAAAAAAAAAAAAAAAAAACTATATGGGTGTTCGCCTAACTTGAATATTTTGTTTTCTTTCCCATTTTCTTGTTGGTGATGAGGAATATTAAATATATATGTCTTATTTAATGTGATATTCTCTATCATATAGCTCCAAGCATCACAAACAACTCGTGCTTTCCCAAAGAGAGATGTGACCGAATACGGAGTTTAAAAAATGAACCAAGACTTCCAAAACATATCATAGGTACCATTTAACCCGGCAGTCTTAAACATGTTTTGACATTTTTCTAGCTATAACAGCATACTGTTACGGGTAAAATTAAAGAGTTTTGAAATATAAAAATGTGTCATTTTTACTGTAACAGACTAATATGCTAAAAAGGAAAGAAACATAACCAAGAGAGAATCAAATATTTACATTACCTGAAGGGTAAGACTTTTGAGGAGTCCATGGTTGCAAACCATTTTCACAATATATTTCCATTTGTGTCTTCAATCCATCAACATCCCACCATTTCTTCCATCTAGCAGTAGCCATGGCTTCCTCCATTGTGTGAACAAAAAAGGGATGTCTAGAAATAGCCATATCAACATTTTCCTTAATAACAAGTGAGTGAATCAACAAGAATGGATCAACAACTAGCTGCATTTTGGCATCTATCCAAATGCTATATTTAGAGTTTGGGAAAAGCCTATGAACCAAATATTTGGGAATTACTCCATTCATTGCTGAATTCTCATACAAATGTTCTTTTTCAACTTTAACAATTCTCCATACTCCAACTGAATTCTCATCTGAATTTGTTGAAATTAAGTTGTGATATTGAAGTCCCTTGAGTGTCACATCATCTACAAACATGTAAAAGCATATAGTGTAGGGAGTTTCTTTGCCTAGTCCTTTTGGCTGCCTGATTTTGTCATGGTCATTGAATATTGCTGAAATAACCACTACTCCCTTGCACTTTTCCATGGCCATCCTATCTGAAAATTTCCAAAAATTAAAAACCAACTCAAAATCATCATTGGTTTAACTTATATACACTTAACATTGTAAATCTTTTTTACACCAATCAGTGTATCTTAACATATCGTAGCAAACAATTTACCTTGTTTTTCATGTTACTAATCTCACTTTTTATAGCAGTTACCATTTTTTGGGTGATATGGCACCATCAGTGTATGAAAGTTAAACATTTGAATAACTCGCCTAAGATTCATTTTTTTTCTTAGTAACTATATAATGATGATTCTTGAGCCGAGGGTCTATCGGAAACATCTTCTCTTCACAAGATAGGGATAAAGTCTGCATACACATTACCCTCCCGAAACTACCTTGTGAGATTAAATGTTGCTACTATAAAAAAGGCAGCTCGGTGCACTAAGCTCCCGCTATGTGTGTCCGGGGAAGAGCCGGACCACAAGGGTCTATCGTACGCAACCTTACCCTGCATTTCTGCAAGAGGATGTTTCCACGGCTCGAACCCGTGACCCTCCTGATCACACGACAGCAACTTTACCAGTTACGTCAAGGTTCCCTTTCAACAGTGTTGCTGTTATATAATGATAAATTCAACCATAAATTACAGAGCAGTAAGAATTTATACCTTCAAAGCCACAATCAAAAGTGACCAACGGAAAAAAGAAAAGTAATTCTAGCTTCACATATGAAATGTGAGTACATGAGAAGTAATACTGAGATCCAAAGAGGAAAATCTTGGTAACTTGAGTACAAAAATACTAACCAGAATTACTGATAGGGAACTGTTTAAAGAATCCACAAGGTATTTCAATTCCATCATCAGAATGATCAAAATAAGAAAACCTTTTCTTGATACTAAAATTCCCACCAAAACTGTCAGCATTCCCCTGAATATACCTCAAGTTTTGTGAACCAAGAAATGTAGAATTTTCACTAAATTCATTGATTTCCTTTAAAGCAGCCCAATAATCTGTCAAATAAACACAACCCCATTATCTCAAAACATAAAAAATTCATTAAAAATCAAAGAGAATTCAATTTTTTTTTACCTGAGAAATAAACAGGGGAATTGCAAGAAGAACGAAAAGTGGGGAGAGCATGTTTATGTTCACCATAAGAAGAATTGTAAAGGAAAAGAGGGGTCTGAATTGGATCATTTGGAGAATATCTGAAGAGACAATTTGTTGGAGAAATGAAGGAAGTGTAAAGAGCTAAGAAGAGAGAGGTGAAGAGGTAGAGAAGAGAAATGCAGAGAAGTTTTGAGTGGCAGAAGAGTGGTTTGGATGTAGCTTTGATCCCCATTTACCTATTCTCATAACAGAAATATCATCTTCTCGTGTTGTTATCATCCTATGCAAAATATTATCTTTTATTTTTTTCTTTATTTAAAAAAAAAACTTTTTTCTTCTTTTTCTCAACCAATTAATATCTCATTTATGTTAGAGGTTTTGTTTGGATTACAAAAATCTTAGATGTCTCTCTCATATAATACATGTATCAATCAACTTGTTTACCTTGAAAACGGTAATTAGAATTAGATTTGATTTTGTAGTTCTAAAAAATACGTGATCTATTTTTATGCTAATTGTTTAGGCAATAGATGTTAAGTAAGAGATTTAGAAAACGAGATAAGAGCTTGAAAACAAAGTGATAACCGAACTAATAGGCTGATAAGCGAGGCCTCGAGCTTGCTTATTCGAGGCCTCGAGGTCGAGTCCTATATCCTGCCATGGGCAGTCGTAGGAGGGACTAACAGTTATGATAGATTCAATGATAGCTCCTTATGGCCAATAAATAGGCAATAAATGAAGAACAATAAATAGAACACAATGAATGTAAGTGATAAATGGAAGTAAAGAGCTTAAGAGAATATGTTAGAGAAGAGAGAGAATGTTCTTGTGTATTTAATATTGAGCAACAGGTCCCTTTACAAAGTGACAAGGATCTCCTTTATATAGGATAGGGAATCCGTACATGTACACTTATTACAAAGAGACATAGCTGGTGCAGCTACTCACTAGTCTGGTACAGGCTAGTACTTATCTTGCAGATATTGTCAGCTTTGGTAACGTGTCTTGGGAACTTGCCGCTTATCCACGGTAGCCACCGACTCGCGCCGCCCCGAGGTCAAGCATAGCGGACCCCCGGGGTCGAACTTCGAACTGTACCTCGAGGCCTCCGGAGGCAGGCCGTGGAATGTCATAACGGTCACAAAATCGGGCTCTCCGATTTAGCCGTATTACCAACTATTCGTCAATCTCAATGAGTAGGAATTTTCTATACGAGTCCTATTTAGAAAAAAAAAAAAAATTGTCTGCATAATATATTGTGCTTACTCCAAACGAATAAATCAATAAATGATGTATAAACTTGTATCATATAACTATGGGTGTATAAAAATATTTTCAATCTTATTTAACTTGTATGTGCTCTATTTAGGTCTAGCTACTTCATTCTATAAATTAAAGTTCTTAGCTCATTACCACTATACCCTGATCTTGATGTAGCGTGTGTTTAAGCCGGCACATTCTAATTATATTTATTATTAAGAAAATTTTATAACTATTTAATTATTTTTACGTTGATCCTCAACGTAATGTTGATTTTTTGCTCACATAAGTGGATATATACGTCTTCTCCCATAGTAGACAACATAAAATTTATATATACGGTGCGACGATTATATTATGGCCATGCTGCCCATGCATCAATAAGATTAAGGCCCCGTTTGTCCATAAAAAAAAAATTCTTTTTAAAAAAAAAATCAAAATGTATTTTTTCATGAAATTTTGCAAGTTTTTTAAAAATTTTGAAAATGAGTTTTTCAAAAACCAAAAAGTGAGAATTTTTTTTTCCCACTCACGAAATTGCAACATTTTATTCAAGTAAAATGCATGTTCAAACTTAATACCAAATTTCAAATACTATTTTTCAACTTAACTCCAAATATTACTTTTTCAAAAATTACAATTTTTATGTCCAAACACCTACTCCCTCCGTTTTAATTTATGTGAACCTATTTCCTTTTTAGTCCGTGTCAAAAAGAATGACCTCTTACCCTATTTGGAAACAATTTACCTTTATGCAATGATTTATAGCCATACAAAATATATGTGCTTCATTTTACACCACAAATTTAAAAGTCTTCTCTATTTTCTTAAACTCTGTGTCCAGTCAAATAGGTTCATATAAATTGAAATGGAGGGAGTACTAGTTTTACTTCAAGTGAGATGTGACAATGACTAAGGATATATGGAGAATTTCCAATACGTCCATAATATTCTTGTGATATGACACTACAAAATCTGTCTTTGGAAGTGACAAATCAGAGCAGAGGGAGAAAGGAATAAACAGAAGAAGACAAAACTTGTGGGGATACTTTTGCTGTTATGCGAAGGAAAGAAGCTTCTACTCGCTTTGTCATTTACCTATTCTTCCTCTCTCTTTTTTTTTTCTTTTGTATTTTGCAGGCTCAATGAATCGGTAATTTTCTGTTGAGAGGGTCAACCACAAGCCCACAATGGCTTCTGTATTGACAATCTTACAGAAATACTTTTTTTATGCCAATATTGGTGATGGGAGATAACTCTCTTTAATTATTCTTGAGATGGGAAGGAGTAGGTCTTGTTTTATATTTGTTAATTCAAATATTCAAATAAGTTCAAACTTATCAACTTCTAGTCATTAGTCACAGACTTATCAAAACTAATCAAGTTGTTTACCCTAAAAACGGATAACAATTGAATTTATATTGTGGTTTTAAGGATACGTGATTTTACTTGGCACAAACTGAGAAAAATGCAAATTGATATTGAAATTAACTGCAAATAAAAATAAAGCAAACAAAAAGAAATGTATAGCTTTGATCCTCGAGCTAGGTGGCCTTCGAATCAAACAAGTATTTCACTGGAAAGTATGAACAAAATAACAGAGTATTGAGAGCTTAAGAGAAACACAGTGTATCGCTTTGTATTGCGTGAATATGATCTGCTTTACAAATGATCACACCCCCTTTATATAGTAGGGGAGTCCTACCCATAATACAATCCTAAATACAGTAAGAAATCCCATTATAAGCTGATTAATCGGTCTCTTTTGATACGTGCCGAGATTTCCGCCGTGATCCTCGCCCGATCGCGAATATCTTGGCTTTCCGTTATTTGGCTCGGCAGCAGGCTCCCTCGATCTTGCTCGATCTCTATCCCGCTCGGTCTCGATCTTGGCTGATCTCGATCTCGATCGGTCTCTGATTCACGAACTTGGCAATCTAACTTCGTGTCACGGTCTGGTATGACATGGGGTCGAACTTTGGCCTGCCACACCCCGGTCTCGATTAATCATAGAAAAATGGTAAGCCCGATTTTGACCGTATACAGATAGTTCCCTCATTTTTTTGGAGAGTAATGACAAGAAACGATTTGAGCCCTTGATCTTCACCTCGATACATCATGACGTAAGAAGCATAGGTAATCGAAACGTCTCATCGGTACAGTTTCCCAGGCATTTAATGCGCGTCAGTCGATGATCGGCCATTACCGGCTTTAAATTGTCATTGAGAAATTATAAATACCCTCCTTCTTCATTTTTCAAACTTTACGTTCTAATCTTCTTCACTCCAATCTTCAAAATCCTTTGCCTTTCTCAAAGCTTTGTATTTTCAGATCTCTAGGTTTCTTCGCTTGTTTCATCACAAAATACCAAGCGCTCCTCCTCAGTTTCCATTCTTCTTCATTCATAGAAGTAAAATGGCTAAGACTTTAAAAATCGTTCCATAAAAGGAGACTGCTTCATCATCACGGCCGGCCGGAGAGGAACTGACGGCGGAGCCACGCCCTGAAGAGTTTTTTTCCAGAGGGTGTGTCATTCATTCTGATTTCAAGGTTGAAAAGACTTCCTTGGTGTCGGGCCGATGCGAGCCGGTATCGAGGTATATATGCTCGATAACTGATAAACTCCTCTCCCAGGTTAAAAAAGATTGCAACTGAGGTAAAAAACATGTGGTGGTGCCTGCTCCAGAAGAATCAATCACCACCCACGTGGAGGGGTTCTTAAGTGTTTATACTTATCCCTTCACGTTGGGTCCCTTGGATCCGATTATCATAGATTCTGCAAGAAGTACGAGGTGACCCTCGGTCAGATTCACCCCTCTTTTTGGAGGATAGTGATATAACTTTTTTTCTTTGTAAATAGAATCGATGGGCTTCCCTTCACCCTCGACCACGTCATATGCCTGTATAGCCCCTGACTCTATCGAGGAGGACTAATAAAGCTTCAACGTCGGGCCACCAGGGCACCTTTCTCGAGCGTAGATGAGGAGAAGACCGGGGCTGGATGGGCCAATTTGTTCGAGTGAAGACCTCGGACTTGATCCCGGCCGAGAGTATGCCATTTCCTGAGAAATGGAATATGAACCGTAAGTATAGTTCCGTCCTTAAATTCTGTTTATTGTCTTCATTTTTCACCCTTTCTTATCAGTGTTTTACATGACGCAGCCGTTGCCTGGATGTCGGGTGTGGTTCCCCAACTTGAGGACTGGGTCAGGAGCCTAGTATCGCAGTTGACGCATGTTGTGCGCGCATGGCGCGATTTGTCGAAGGGTCGACGGGAGGCCCGTAGCCATGGTAAAATTTCCTCTCTGACTCAATGAGTGACCATTATTCGAATTTCTCCCGAGCTTACTCATCTTTTTTTTGTAGGTCTCGAGAATGACGTGGCAATGAGGCCCCCGTCTAGTGATGAAGAAATCCTTCCCCCACCATCTGTCTCGAAGCTGGTGTGGGAGAAGAAGAGGAAAAGGGCTTCGAATTCCACGAACTCTGAGGGGCAGAAGTCCAAAAAGAAAAAAGCCCGTAAACCCAAGGGAGTCAGTCCAACAGCTAAGGGAAGAGCCCGAAGAAGAAGAAGAAAAAGAAGAAGAAGAACACTCTGGGTTGGTGGCTCGTGTGCAAGGTGGCACTAAGATTCGAGGAACTACTGAGCCGGTGGGAGCTGAGACTGCTCTGCCTCGACTTGATGAGATTCAAGGGAAAGCCTCGACCAAATTTCCCAAATCGGAAAGAGCTGAAGACGCTTCGCCTCGAGGTGAGAAGGCTATCGAGGAGGTGGTTGGTGCTGGTGAAGAAACCATGCTCGAGGCTCCCCGAGATGAAGGCGGTGCCCCCAAAGATTTACTTGGGGTGATAGATATCAGAGATTCCCCATTGTTTCCTTCATATACTAAGTCTATGATACATGAAGCTCAGGCGGTGAAGACTGCCACGGGGAAGGGGTCCATGGAGTAGAAGACCCTTTTCGTGGTTATTTTGTTGGAGTGGAAGATGTCACTAGTATGGGTG